GGCCAGGGGGGGGGGGCGGGGCCGGAGGGCAAGGGGGGGGGGGGACCAAAAAAGGCAGGAAAAACTGATTTTTGAGCACCCGCCCTGCCTGGGTCGGCCTGAGGCCCCCTTGGTCCATGAGCACGCTGCGGCGAAGGGTCCGGGTCCTCCTGGCCTAGGGGCCCGGAGGGAACGGCTTGTGCCATGGAGGTCAAAGGGCTTAAGCGCCGCCCCCCAATGTAGGGGGGCGGCCTAGGCCCTGAGTTTAGGGTTTAGGGCTTAGGGTTTAGGATTTCGGGTGTAGGGTTTAGGGTTTAGGGTTTAAGGTTTCGGGTTTCGAGCTTGGGGTTTTAAGTTTGTGTCGAGGGCCTCGGCCCTACAACCTGAACCCCAACATCCTAGACCTCTAGAGTTGGGGCAGGATGCCCGAGCCCTTCCCTAGCCCGAGGCTAGGCTTGAAATCTTTGGGGGGGAAGGGTGGGGACAGTACGAGATACTATAACTGGAAACAGGGGGGGGAGGGGGGGGGGGGGGGGGGGGGGGTTGAAACAAGGGTCGAGGGTTGAGGGTTTAGGGTTTAGGGTTTAGGATTTAGGATTTAGGGTTTAGGGTTTAGGGTTTACCGTGAATCCCGACACGGTCAGTGATGGGTCCTGTCAAAGACGCGGAAGGCCGACCAGCAAACGTCCTGGCAAAAGTCAGATCCCCACTGGCTTAGGGCTTAGGGTTCAGCCTTTGGGGTTTAGGGTTTAGGGTTTAGGGTTTAGGGTTTGGGGTTTAGGGTTTAGGGTTTCGGGTTTAGGGCTGAGGGTTTGATTAGGGTTTAGGGCTTCGGGACCCTGAAGGGCTTCCGTGTCAAGACGTCAGCCGCCGTGGTCAGGGCTTGAGGTGTTTTAGGCTTTGAAGGCGGGAAGGGGAAAGGGATGCACTTACACCCCCCAATCAAAATGTGGGATTAGAACAAACCAACAATAAACCCTAAACCCTAAATCCTAAACCCTAAACCCTGAACCCTAAACCCTAAACCCTAAACCCACTTCGAAGTAGAGTGCGCTGAGTGGGGGGCAGGTGAAGAATGACTTGTCCGAGGCATGTGCACCCCGGAGCCACCTAAGTCGAACGACAGAAGTTTATGGGGTGCGGGAGTCGGGGCTTAGGGTTTAGGGTTTAGGGTTTAGGGTTTAGGGTTTAGGGTGTAGGGTGTAGGGTGTAGGGTTTAGGATTTAGGGTTTAGGGGTTGGGATGTTCTCCCTTATGCTACCAGTCCCTAGTAGGGATTATCATGCCCCCTACGATCATCCCTACTAAGGACTGTTAGTATAAGGGGGAACATCCCAAGCTAAATCCTAAGCTCTGGAAACGGCGGCGCTGCTGGGTCCTCCTGGATGTACTGGCGCCTCCGCACAGCGCATGATAAAGATGGGCATGGGAGGGGGCGGGGGGCGTCTGTGCTTGAAGGTTCATGGGTACTTGTAACCCCAATGATAAGTCTACTTATAACCTACTTAGGGGGAACCTCCAGGTGTGCTTGAAGGCTTTAGGGCTTGGGGTTCATTTACGGGCTTCTGGGTTGAGAGTTTTGGGGTTCGTTCTAAAAGATTTCGGCAGTGTCGTAAGCTTGAGTCTCGACACGCTTCGGAGGGTTTCAGGGTCTTTTGGCTTTGGGGCTGAAGGTTTAGGGGTTTCCAGACCAAGGGTTTAGAGAGCTCGAGACACTGAGGCTCTCGACTTCATAGCGGCGAGATATGGTCACCTCTCTAAAACATGGTCGCTTCTGGGGTCCTTCTTTTGAGGAGGCCCGTCTCATTTAGGGTACCCAAAAAGCAACCATAATGAAGAGAGCTCCTTACAGGAATCCTAGTATGTGGGGGTCTGGATTAGGGTCCCTAAACCCTAAACCCTAAACCCCTCATATGGATAACAGAAACCTTGGGATGCAGAAGCTTCGGCCTGTCCAGGGTGGCTGCCAGGAACTCCGTGTAATCGATCACCTGAAGTGGGGGGCTGAATATCCTAGCCCAAAAAGATTCACCTTCTATTTATAGTAGGATTCTATATTTTCAAAAGGTCAAAGGTTACCTACCCAGTCCCTAAGCCTGAAGTTTGTGATCTAGGTGGTTGGGAGTTCACAGGGGCAAGGTTTATGGGATCTGGGGTCCAGAGCTTTGTGTTGGGGGCTCGAACGGCTTTGGAGGTTAGGGTCTAGGAGTTTGGGGGTGTTGGGCTTTGGCTTCATGATTCTTTTGGGGGTGCCTTTGTTTTATGTAGACGGCCCTTTTGCAGTACAAGCCCCTGAAGCCCTGAAACCCTAAGCCATACAATGTATGCACATGCATATATATATATATATATATGTGTATATATATATATATATATATACGTATAAAGTGTACACACGCATAAATAGATTTATAAATATAAATGTATATATATATATATACATATATATATATATACATGCGTGTGTGTGTGTGTGTGTGTGTTTATACTTCGATTCAGATTCAGATTTAGTTGTATAGATGTTTTGGAAACCCTTGTAACCCCCCCCCCCCCCCCCGCCGTTAACAAAAAACAAAGGACAAACTACACTAAACCTGTATGGGCCCGCATAAGTGCCCTCGCAAGGCCCTTGCATCCTCTTCTGAACCCTAAACCCTATAAACGCGTTAAACCCAAAAAACTGCAAGCCCTACGTAAGCCTTATATAAGAACTAGACAACCTAATTCCCCTAGACCCTCAACCCTAGTTCCTCATCCCATTGATAGTTTACGAAATAAGGGACCCGAATGCAGACCCCCAATAGTAGGCTTCCCTTGTAATGAAGGACCCCAAATAAGGTACCCCGAATTTCGGAAACCCTGAACCCTAAACCCTGAACAAGCCCTACATAAGCCCTACAAACCCCATTTTTATAAACCCTATAAACCCTATAAACCCTATAAACCCTAATAAGCCCCATAAACCCTGATTTTCCTAGACGCTCAACCCTAACTCCTCATTCCCCTTTTGTTGAATGGTCCACTCCAAGGCTGCCACACCGCTTCCATCGGCATCCACGTCCTGGCTTGCGTAAGAACTGGGGGGGGGGGGGTAAGGGGTTTCCCAAACCCTAAACCCTAAACCCTAAACCCTAAACCCTAAACCCTAAACCCTAAACCCTAAACCCTGAACCCTAAGCCCTAAACCCTTAATCTTCAGACCCTAGGGTTGTAAGGGTCATGGAGAACCTTCGGTGTGTTGGGAAACTGGGCCTCCTCGCACCCAAGCCTGCAGCCCCTGCCCCCCCCCCCCCCCCCAAGCCCAAAAAGCGACTTTGGGTTTGGGGTTTAGGGCTAGGTTTAGGGTTCGGGGTTTAGGGTTTCGGGTTCTGGGTTTGGGGTTTTGGCTTTGGGCTTTGGGTTTAGGGTTTAAGGTTTAGGGTTTAGGGTTTAGGGTTTAGGGTTTAGGGTTTAGGGTTTAGGGCTTAGGGTTTAGGGTTTAGGGTTTAGGGTTTAGGGTTTAGGGTTTAGGGTTTAGGGTTTAGGGTTTAGGGTTTAGGGCAAGCTCGGCCTCCATGATGGCCTGCAGATCGGGAGGAATCTCCTTGAGGCCGGCCTGGCAAGCGGCTACCCTGAGCTTCGTGGATTAGGGTTTAGGGTTTAGGGTTTAGGGTTTAGGGTTTAGGGCTTAGGGAGCCATGATTAGGAATCAATGTTCCTGTATATCCGTAGTCAAGGTAAGCAAAGTAAGTTCCTCCACAGCAAACCCACCCCTAGACCCCCTAAACTGAAACATGCCCTTGAACCCTCAATCCTCCTAAATACCTCCAAACCGCCCCCTAAACCCCAAACCCAAATGATAAACCCTAAACCCCAAACCCTAAGCACTAAACTCTAAACCCTACACCCTACACCCTAAACCCGAAACCCTAAACCCTAAACCCTACCCTAAACCCTGTCTTAAACCTTCAGGAATAAGAAAACGCCTGCCTTCTGCAAGCCCTCCTTAAGCTCCGCTGGGGTCAGGAGGCCGTCGCCTTGAAGAAGCCAGGGGTTTGGGGGTTTAGGGTTTAGGGTTTAGAGTTTAGGGTTTAGGGTTTAGGGTTTAGGGTTTAGGGTTTAGGGTTTAGGATTCAGGGTTAGGGTTTAGGGTTTGGGGTTTGGGGTTTAGGGTGTAGGGCTTAGCGCTTCGGGGTTGTTTCAGGGCCTTTTAGGCTTTGAGGGGTTTAGGGATTTTGGGTGCTTTGTTAAGGTTCAGGGGCTTGGTGCTTTCGGGTTCTTTGGCGCTTCGAGGTTTAGGCTGGGGAAGTTCTAGTGCCTTTAAAGCCTTCGAGGCCTTTAGGGGTCAGAGTTCAGGTGCGCGTTCAGGGTGTTGACAGTTGGCGGGCTGGCGTAGTATAAAACGGGCTTAGGGTGCATCCTTGCCTGAGCACCCTAAATCCCACGCCCTCAACCCCATGAACCACCCCAACTCAAACCCTAAAACCACGCGAACCCAAACCCTAAACCCCTAGATCCCACGCCCTAAACCCCATGAACCACCCGAACCCTAAACCCTAAACCCTAAACCCGAAACGCTAAACCCTAAACCCTAAACCCTGAACCGCAGAGAATCTCGGTCAGGAGCCGTTCTTGTCCAAACCCATGAAGGTGTCACGCAGGGCCTCCGGCAGCGATCCATCCCTAACAGATTTGGGGGCACGGGGTTTAGGGTTTAGGGTTTAGGGTTTGGGGTTTAGGGTTTGGGGTTTAGGGTTTAGGGTTTAGGGTTTAGGGTTTTAGGGGCTTAGGGGTTTAGGGGTTTAGGGGTTACAAAGCCAATCGTGCCCGACCTCGGGCATCGTGGCGGCCCTTTCTCCAAGCCGAAAGGTCCTCTGATGGTTGGAATGAAGGATCCTGGCTCAAGAGATGGAGAGTCTACTATTGACACTCCTCTCTCTTCGGTTCAAATCCAAGAGTGAAATCTTGATATGTGCATTTCAATGTCGTCAATGCCTTGGCCATTCGGCATGGGCAGATAGTAAGATGACAGCTGCTTGAGCTCACTGCTTGAAGACTCGAGGATCTTTGCTTCCTTCGTAGTAGGTCACAGGCACCTGGTAGCCGGAGGTCTTGAGGTACCTCTGCAGATCCTTTACTTTCGCGGAGCTGCCGTTGAAGGGCACAACGAAGCCATCAATGTAGCTGCGGACGCTGGCATCGTTCTTGGCCCGCTCCACAAGTTCAGCGTAGCTCAGCTGAAGACTTGCCACCTTTGGTAATGTGCAGAGCGTGGTGCTCCACTGTTCCAGGCTGGTCACGCCTGTGGGGAGGTTCACCGTGGTTGCCACTGTTGGCGCAGGATGTAGCGGAGCCTGGTCTGAGGGCTCACGCACGTGCTCAAAGCCGTAGTCCTCCACGTCCTGGTCACTGAGACGCCTCTTCGGGGCATCCGTCATGCCATGCATCATTTCCTGGTTGGAGCTCAAGGCTTGCGTCGTACCGAAGGCCTGCTGGAGCACGTTCAGCACATCATCTCCACGCCCTTCCGCCTGAAGGCGCTCCACAAGATGCCGAAGCTCAACTGGAGACACCGATGACGAGGAGGGTGAGCTGGTCTTCTGCTTGGGCGCCATGCGGTCCAAGGTGCACGAAAAGGGTTGCTGATGTTCGACTACACAAAACAAAACAAAAGGATTGCTGCTTTAAGAGAAAAAAGGATTACGCGGCCAGCGTTACCTTGAGGCAGACACTGGGGATTGTGGCAGCATCGCTTGCTCTTGACAGTGATGCGTGCGCATTGCTTGGCGTGGTCCCTCCACGCAAGCGGACTACCCCACCACTAGTCCCCGTGACTAGTCTAAACCCTAGATCCCGGAACCACCCTTTCATACCAGATCTCTGTTCGAAGCAAGGACACAGGGCTGGATAGCCACTGCTTTTCGCACAGTAAGGACTCCTGGAGGTCCTCTGACGCGAGAACTTTCCCGCTGCGTGCGTCGAAAGAGGTGCGACGAACAGCCTTGCCTTGAACGATGTGTTCTTCTTCAGGGGAATGATATGAAGTAGCTTCGTGATCTAGGTACACCTTTCGAAAGACTGCGCCTGGAGTTTGGCTCTGCTCATAGTTCGGGCTGTTCGTGCTCCCTAAAGGCTTTCTCTGGACACGCCTGTCTCGTTGCGCCTTCTTCTGTGCCAACACCTCGGCCTCGTTAGACAGCTGATAAACCCCGTTAGCTAGCAATGCGCGCATGAGGTCAGCGGGATCTGCTTGGTTCTTGGTGAGCCCGTCTGCAATCATAAGCTGAGTGGGACACCACCTGACCTGCAAACCACAACGAGACATGGACTGGCGAACGATTGCCAGGTCAATGGCGACGCGTTTGTCTTCAATCTTGCCTGGCGATGTCGGAGTGTTGAGTGCATCAAACAAGGACTTGCAGTCTGTCACCCCTGTGATGGGCACACATCTAAGGTGATCTTCACAGGCCCTAAGGTCGAAACACCCGTGCTTAGCCTCTGACACCATGAGAGACATCCACTCAGAGATTCCACTCGCAGTAGCGAAACTCTGCGTCTCACCAGCAAGCGTGGACGCCACTACTCGGGACATCTTGTATGATTTCCAGCAAAAGGGTGACCACACACTGGGCTGATCTTTGGCCAACTGACTAGTTGTGAACGCGAGGATGTACCCGGCTTGGGTTTTACCCTGTGAAGCATTAGCAAACCCAGCGTCACTATGGAAAACTATATTGAGATCTTCCCAGGGCACATGACGAACAGTGAGCGCCACGTCACTGTACTGACGGGCTCGGTGCACCGCCTCATTGGCGGACAGGAGGTGCTCAACAGTAGGACTGGGGAACGCCTGCTGTGAGAAGGAGGCCTGAACGCTGATATCAGGACGGGTTTGGGACGCAAGCCAGTTGAGGGCACCGTTCACTGCTCGGAGAGCCGTGATCTCACGTTCAGTCGCCAGCTGTTTCCGCTGCTTCTGTCGATCCTTTGTCATGGCGATGGGTCTTATGTTCTGCGCGTATGCTTTTTGATCATAAGTGATCTCTTTAGACTCAGGGTCTTGGAAGTATTGAACTCCGCAAAATTCCCCACTGCCCTGTCTCCATTTACGATATTGAAACCTCGCCTTTAGCCTCTGAATGGCTCGGTTGTACGCTTCCCCTTCGCCCCCCGGTATGGTATCATCCACATGTGCCCCTAGGATCCCCGTTAGCCCTCTTTGAGGCTCTCGGTAGTAGTACAAACATGGGTCGAAGATGCTACGCTGGAACCCTGCGGCCTGCGCCTGAGCATCAAACTCCTTGTACCACTGGGCCGGCGCATCGTTAGCGCCGTAGAGGTTCCCCACTATTTCTATAACAGCTGAGGGGTCTACGCCCGGAATCCCTCCAGGGGGTTGCGCGGCGAATAGAGGACGATATTTTTCAGGGATTGGACCTGCTTCGAGGAAAGCGCCTTTTATATCGCCTAGGTTTAGGGTCCAGCCTTTGGAGACAAGGACTTGAAGCAGCCAGGCGCGCGACAACTGGTGCATCGTTGGGCTGTGACACTCACCCGAAGCAATCTTCTGATGGAAGTCGGGATCGTTGTGTCCAAGCAAGCACCATCTCGCCTTTACTCTAGATCCCTCTTCATCAACCTTGTTCGTAACTACAAACCGGCTGCCGATGAACCTATGCCCGAACTTCTCCTTGATTTCTCTGGCCTTAGCCCCCGCGTGCACTCTTACAGCTGCCTTGCCGGACACCGTCTCCCACTCAACGAGTTTTGCCTCGTCGATGCGATGCTGCATGTCCGGAGTATTTCCGGTGGCGGGGAGCTCTTTCTGAGCTCGCTTCTGCAGAAATGCAGCCATCAGAATCTCCACATGGCTGCTATGCAAGTGCTCCATGTCCAGAGTTTCTTGACAAAAGAGAGCCTCTGTGGACACAGTTCGAGGCCTCACACCTTCAGGAGACTCTGTCGGCTCATTGCTGGCCGCCCGCTTCTGGCTACTGGCTCTGGGGGTCTCTGGTTGCACAGTCTGCGGTACGTCTGAGCTACTACTAGGGCTTGCTCCCGGGACCTCTTGGGGTAGTTGGGCTATAAGGCGAGGAACAATTTCAGACATCATTTCAGCGAAGTCTTCAGGATTAGAGTCGGGCAATCTACGGAGACGGAGGTTGCTCTCAGGAGTTTTGCGGACGATGCGTCTGACAGGGGCGTATGACGATTCTTCCTTTGGGCTGGCTTCAGGAAGTGTTGTAGGGTAGGGTTCTGCGTTGGCCCTGGCAGGGGCCGAGCAAGACACTTCTGGAGCTTTCGGGCTCTCGGTCCCTGCTGCTGTCTGCCTGTGCTGTTCCAGCCACTGCGCTGCATTGAGACCCGCAAGGCCTTGTGACGGCTCATCAACCGTGGCCTGAGCCTCTTCAGGGGCCTCTGGAGGGCGGCTCTCCTGAGTGACATCCACAAATTGGCTTTTCGGGAATTGACCCTTTTCAAGCAGTGTCTTAACGCCTAGGAGCTCGCTCTCCGGAAACTCTGCCACTGTGGCCTCAGATGGGGTTGCAAAACGAAGCTGTTCAGGCGCGCAGCGCAAGAGACTACGCCTGTGCGCGACAACGAAGTTGCGACCGACCGATCCCAGCACTAGCCCTGCCCCGTACCATCTCCCCCCCTCTATTCTTATCCCATCGACATGCTTCTGTGTGCGCCAGTAGTAAACCCAGTCCCCCGAACGAAAAGGACGAAGCGCACGCGGGCGTGCACGAAGTGCGGCACGAACAGCGCGATCGCTTTGGCACTCAAGCATGGCACGGCGCGACGCGGCGCGGACTGCAGCTGCGCGCTCTAGCGCTGGTTCTGCCTGTTCGGCATCGACGGCACCCAGGTGAGGCGCCTCCTGCATAAGATCCGTGGGAACGCGCGGATTGCGCCCGAAAACAAGCTGGTACGGACTGGCGCCCGCTTCAGTCAGGAGGGTGTTTTTAGCGGATTGAGCATGGGACAGGCAATCACGCCACTCTGGTTCTGACTGGGGACGGATCTCATCCAGAACGCGCTGGAAAACCCGACACACCCATTGGCCATGCCGCTCCACTTTGCCTAGTTGCCAGTGGGCGTCTGCGGCAGTATGTCGCATGTCGATGCCGGTGTTGTTGCAGAACGCGCCTAAAACCTGTGAAAGGTTGGGCTGAGAAGGGTCTAAGCACAGGGTCTGAGGAGGGCCGGCCCACGATACCCACCGATCGCGAAGAGCGTCTCGAGTGGTTTCACCAGTTTCGGTGCGATGCAATGGAACCATAACCTGAAGGGAGGTGGCGAAGTCAACCATGTTGACGCATGGGATTTTTTGACCTGACAACCACCCTGGCAAGTACTTAACGTCTAGCCCTACTTTTTCATTGAACTGGGATGCACTAGAGGTGTTAGCGGGGAGTGGTGCTGTTGGCCGACTCTGGTTTGCACACACGCTGCAGGAGAGGCTTGAAGCACGCTGGACCGCACGATCTGAAGCACCACTGTGCTTGAGAACCCGAACAAGCTCCTTATTTGAGGGATGTCCTAAGTTATTGTGCAACTTAAGGAGGGCTTGGTCTATCTTTATGAGTCGCTGCTGTTCTTGGGGATCTTCAGGTTGCTCATTTGCTGCAGGCGCTTCGTGTTGTCTCGGGATCTCAGGTGCTCTTTGGAAAGCGCTTCCTGCGAGGCATTCGCATTCCAAGGCAGTCCAGTCCAGGGGATCACCCTGCACAACCAAGCTTTCACACGCATTGAAACCCACGTGCCTCCAGAGCATTTCGACGAAACCTGAACAATACCTACCTGAAAACTCGCTCCTACTCACCCCCGAACTTGCATGGCCCTGGATGTGCTGATGCCTGTGGCATCCGGGACAGGTCCTCGCTCCTTGAGCAAGGTTCGGATTCGAACACAGCAGAGCGGTCTCCCTTTTGATGGGCAAACCGGACCTAGGGCAGGTGAGACCGTAGGCACACATATCAACCCGAACCAGACCATACTTATTAACTAGGGGTCTAATGAGGGGGTCTTTCCAGATCCTAGAACCCACCGGATGTTCAAGGAGAAAATGACCGCCGCGCGCCAGTTGGCGCTGTATCTGCTGGGCACAAAAGCGAAACTGCTGACGGCTCACCATCAGCATGCGGGCTCTTTCCAAAGGCGTCCTGTGGATCATGTGAAGACTGTCCCAGTCACCACAATGAATGCATGGGGGAGATGCTGTGAGTAAGGCAGGTCTGGCCTCTTCAAGCAACTGGTCTACCTCCTTCTGCGTGCTCCTACATCCTAAATCACACCCCTGCTTAATGTCAAACGCCAGCCCCGTTGCTCCATGCTGGCGAGCCTGTTCAGTCAGGCGAGGGGGCGAGAACAACTCCGCCACTGCAACCTGTGCGGATTGCTTGGCGTCTAGGGTTTTAACCTGGGCTAGGAGGCACTTACAGTGTTTGTTCTTCATGGGTTTCTTGTTCTTGTTTGTCTTAGGGCTTAAGGGTCCTAAGGGTTCAGGCGATGGCGGTGGTGGTACATGTCCCTCCAGTGAAGGCTGCAAGCCACACGTGACGTCCTGAGCCACATCATTCTTACACCCAGATGCCTCTACTGAATCCGCAGCGGGAAGAACAGGCTTATGAGCAACCATGCGGCTGGGGTAGCTGAGGATGTCGATGAGAAGCTGGCCAGCATCATTGACCTTCATGGGCACGGCCTCCTGAGCGTTCAGGAACCGCATCGTCTTGTTGCCGAAGTTCAAGGAGACCTGTAGCTTCTCTAAGGTTGGACGCCCCAACAGAAGAGGAGCTCGACCTTGGATGACCGCCGCATCGATGATGCCAGGCACCCCTCCGATGCCCACAGGTATCTTCACGGCCATGCTTGAAACCTCCGTGGCGCCATTCCCGAACCTGAACGAACTCGTGGCCTGGTAGGTCTCAAGCGTCTTGCCGATCATGCTGCCTATCTTTGCCTCGAGCTGCTGGAGCGTGTCCTTTCCGATGAGCGTGCGTCCACAGCCGGAGTCTACAACCCCGAAACCCGGTGAAGACACGAGTCCCGCCGCCAGAACAGGCACTCCTGCCTGAGCGGCGACCTGAGCCATTCCAACGAACATCACATCGGAGGGTTCCTCAGCGGGGTCGACTTCGTACTGCGCCAGGGACACCTCCTGCTCGACCAGCTGCGCCTCCACTACGCCAGTCGTAGACGAAGCCGTCGGCCTGCTGGCTGCTGAAGACGAGGAGCCGCCCTTTCCACCTCCAGAGCGACACTCTCTGGCCCAGTGGCCCACTCGACCACACTTCCGACAGCGTGTCCTTCGCTTGAGTTCTTCGATCTCAACTCTGAATGACTTCTTGCTGTGCTGGGCAGAGTCAAACTTGCGATCTTTCTTGAAGCGGGCTATTTCAGCACGACGTTCCTTCCATGTGGCTGCAAGGGCTTCTGCAGCCTCGTTCTCTGGGATGCTTTCATCTGGGTCACTTCCCAGCTGGTGGTCTGCAAGGAATGCCTCCACATCTGCGAAGTCTTCCGGCGCCTCAATCGTCTCGTCGATCTCGGAAGGCTCTGCGAGGAACGCTGTGGTAGGCCGCTTGGCCTTGGAACCGGCCTTGTAGAGGGGGAAGCAGGATCTCATCGCCGAGGTGACAGACTCAAGGTCCAACTTGCCCTGAGCCTTGGCTTTGATGATCGCCTTCTGCTCCTCGCTAAAGCCAGCACAGTTCAAAGCAATCCATCCCTGAGCAGGGGATGGAAACTTGACATCGGCTTTCCGATGACACTTCGTGAAGACCTCTGCCACTCGAGCGGTCCACTGCTGAACTGTCTCGTTCTCGCGAGCTGCCAAGCCGAACACTTCGCCAAGAGCCTCGCCCATCTGGTCATGGGCCTCCTTTTCAGGAAACCTCTCCTTGAGCACGGCGAGGATCTTGCTGGCCCCATCCTCCACCTGGAGTGAGCTGAGCTCCAGGTGCTCCACGGCCTCTAACGCTTTTCCGTCGAGAAGGGTGTACAAGAAGGGGCCTTGCTGCTTGTTTGTCAATTTGTCCATGGTGTACATCTTAGCTTCGGCCCATGCACGCCATCTGCGCAGCTGTCGTCCCGGGTCATCTTCTTCGCCATTGAAGCGTTTGAGTGAACGCTCATCTGCGCCCGACATTGCTGGAGTCTACTATTGAACACTGGTCCCTGCCTAGGGACGAAACACTACCAACCCAGGTAGTCGGAGCCACGGCTCCGCTACCAATTACAAAGCCAATCGTGCCCGACCTCGGGCATCGTGGCGGCCCTTTCTCCAAGCCGAAAGGTCCTCTGATGGTTGGAATGAAGGATCCTGGCTCAAGAGATGGAGAGTCTACTATTGACAGGGGTTTAGGGGTTTAGGGGTTTAGGGGTTTAGGGGTTTAGGGGTTTAGGGGTTTAGGGGTTTAGGGGTTTAGGGGTTTAGGGGTTTAGGGGTTTAGGGGGTTAGGGGTGTAGGGGTTTAGGGGTTTAGGGGTTTAGGGGTTTAGGGGTTTAGGGGTTTAGGGGTTTAGGGGTTTAGGGGTTTAGGGGTTTAGGGGTTTAGGGGTTTAGGGGTTTAGGGGTTTAGGGGTTTAGGGGGTCTAGGGGTTTATGGGTTTAGGGGTTCGGGATGTAGACTTCGCTGCCTTGACCTCCAAGCCTCTAAGTGCCTCTTAACCCTAAACCCTAAACCCCAAACCCCCCTACCCAAACCCAAACCCTGACCCTAAACCCCAAACCCCAAACCCTAAAACCCAAATTCAAACCCCCTAAGCCCAAACCCTAAACCCCAAACCCCCTAAACCCCTAACCCCAAACCCTAAACCCCAAACCCTAAACCCCAAACCGCCCAACCCCAAACCCCCTAAACCTCTAACCCCAAACCCTAAACCCCAAACCCTAAACCCCAAACCGCCCAAACCCTAAAACCCTAAACCCAAAAAACCCCCCAAACCCTAAAACCCTAAACCCAAAACCCCGCAAACCCTAAAACCCTAAACCCTAAACCCCCCAAACCCTAAAACCCTAAACCCAAAACCCCGCAAACCCTAAAACCCTAAACCCCACACCCTCAACCCCACACATGGCAGTGTTGGCCTTGATCTGGTCCTCATTCAACTGACCGGCGATGATGTGCAGGGCCGCCTCGCAGGGGAACACAGGGGGCCGCATGGAGGGTTCAAGGGTTTCAAGGGTTTAAGGGGTTTAAGGGGTTTAAGGGGTTTAAGAGATTTAAGGGGTTTAAGGGGTTTAAGGGGTTTAGGGTTTGGGGTTTGGGGCTTGGGGTTTAGGGTTTAGGGTTTAGGGGTTTAGGCGTTTAGGCGTTTCGGGGTTTGGGGGTTTAGGGGTTGACCCCAAGCCTAAGCCCCTAAACTCTATCAACCCTCAGTCCTGGACGCCCTCAACGGCTTTCACCGCGCCAAAGAAACCAGTGCCGCTAAACCCTAAACCCTAAACCCTAAATCCTAAACCCTAAACCCCTCCCATGGCTTAGAAGAACTCGCTGGTCCTAAGCCCTACATTGGACTTCAACCCTAAGCCGTAAAACCCTAAACCCTAAACCCCACTGGTGTGCCTTCTTGAGCTTGTTCTGGGAGCGGAAGCCGCGCAGGTTGTCCACGAAGTTGCTCTGCAGGGACACGTGCGACGCTTTCGGCGCCTGCCCAAGGACGTTCAGGGTTGAGGGTTTAGGGTTTAGGTTTAGGGTTTAGGGTTTAGGGTTTAGGGTTTAGGGTTTAGGGTTTAGGGTTTAGGGTTTAGGGTTTAGGGTTTAGGGTTAGGTTTAGGGTTTAGGGTTTAGGGTTTAGGGTTTAGGGTTTAGGGTTTAGGGTTTAGGGTTTAGGGTTTAGGGTTTAGGGTTTAGGGTTTAGGGTTTAGGGTTTAGGGTTTAGGGTTTAGGGTTTAGGGTTTAGGGTTTAGGGGGTTTAAGGTTTAGGGTTTAGGGTTAGTGTTATGGTTTGGGGTTTAGAGTTTAGGGTTTAGGGGTGGTTCCCTAAATTAGGCTCTCTTTTTGGGTCCTAATCTAGAGAACTGCCGTTACAGGATTTAAGGGTGCTTCGGTCTGGAGTTGCTAGACCCCAAAACCCTAAGCCCTAAGCCCTAAGCCCTAAGCCCTAAACCCTAAACCCTAAACCCTAAACCCTAAACCCTAAACCCTAAACCTTTTCTGTCTAGAGTTCTTCGCATGGTTTGGGGGTAGCAGGTCGTAGCGAGGTTTCGGGGTTTACGGGGCTTCTCGCGGGTCTTTCGATACAGGGGTGAAATAGGGCTTAGTATGGAAGTCGGAAGTCAGGTTGCCTTTAAACTCCCCAAGGTAGCCTCTCAATCCTTCTGAGGGCTTAGGGCGTTGAGTTTGTTTTTGCAAGTTGTTCGTGTGTGGGTACAAGGTGCGCACATCTCAACTTCCATACTGATCCTACACAAGCCCACGGTCCGACAGTTTGAGAGTTTGGGGCAAGGGGCCGAAGCTCTAGAGCTTTAAGGCCAAGAAACCCAAACATGAGGCTGCTTTGGCTTGGGGTTTAGGGTTTCCCAGACCCCCCGGAAGGATCCAAAAGCAGAACCCCCCCAATTCGTACCCGGTACTACTATTGGGCCATTCTTAGGAACCCTTACAGGGATCTACTTTTTGGATCCTCCCAGGGCTCTGGGTTAGAGCCTAAGCCCAGGAGTAACCTGATATTAAAAAGGGGTGCCCTTTTTGGTTTTCAGAGGAATATGAGAAGGGAACCCCAACCCTAAAAAAAGGGAATAAGGGCCTACTCCGAGTCCTAGGAGCTTAGACCCGCCACAAAACATGCCAGGCGCGGAGGGGGGCCTTGTTCCTGATCCACTCGTGGTTCAGGGCCTGGCGCGCTTGGCAGGCATCAACCCCCCGGAGCCCTAAAACCGAAAGCCCTAAAAACTAAAGCGTGAAACCCTGAACCCTAAACCCTAAACCCTGAACCCTAAACCCTAAACCCTGAATCCTAAACCCTAAACCCTAAACCCTAAACCCTAAACCCCAAACCCTAAACCCTAAACCCTTCATTCGTTTTGGGCTTTAGGGGCGGCCAGAGGGCTCTCTGGAACTGGGCGCCTGCTCGGCGGTGTAGCGGTCCTTGGGATTCATCTTCAGCAGGTGACCTCTGCAGTCTTGGGTCTGTAGGGTTTAGGGTTTAGGGTTCAGGGTTTAGGGTTCAGTTTAGGGTTTAGGTTTTAGGTTTTAGGGTTTAGGGTTTAGGGTTTAGGGTTTAGGGGGGGGGGGTCATCTTCAGCAGGCGATCTGAGATGCCTCGGGCTTCAGTCTCTCTGAATAGGAACATCCACTTCAAAAAATCGTTATGGACTAGGGCTCAAAGTCTAGAGCTGCTCGTTATGGATGAGGGTTTAACGTTTAGAGCTGCGGGCTTAGGGAGGGAGGGCGCTCGGGGGAGGGGCATTTGGAACTTGTTCAGCATCTGCCCACACACCATATGCCTTGTCGGCTAAACCCTAAACCCTAAACCCTGAACCCTGAACCCTAAACCCTAAACCCTAAACCCTAAACCCTAAACCCTAAACGAGGAACTCCAGAAGCGTCCTGCCGATCGCGACGATCTGGCTGTTGATGAACAGCCAGAACCCCTTGGCCCCGAGAACCAACAACCCACATCCCTCGGCCCCTAAAGCTTAAGCCCTTTATCCCCAAACCCTAAAACTCAACCCTAAACCCTCAACCCTAAACCCTTTAAACCCTAAACCCTACACCCTAAATCCTAAGCCCTGCATAGTCGCAGCCCCAGGAAGGTTCTGGGATCCCAGGCGGATCAGGTTCTTGGCATCCTTGCCAACAAGTTGCAGAGCAAACAGGGTTTAGGCTTTAGGGTTTAGGGTTTAGGGTTTAGGGTTTAGGGTTTAGGGTTTAGGGTTTAGGGTTTCAGGTTTGCAGGGTTCAGGGCTTATGGGGCTCAGTTAGGGTATATAGTTTAGGGTTTAGGGGTTTCACGTTTGGGGTGAGGGCTTGAAGGTTCAGAAAGCTTGTGTGGGGGAGGGCTAAGGGTTCACAAGTCAGAACTCTCAACCCAAAACCCCAAACCCCAAACCCTAAACCCTAAACCCTAAACCCTAAAGGGTGCAGCACCTAGCACCCGTGGGAGTCTCTGGGCTCCTCGGAGACGTTCTTCCAGTCCGCGGGGTTGAAGTTGAAGTTGCCCAAGCGCACCTGAGCGTGTACGACAAAGCTTAAGGGGGGGTTAAGGGAGGGGGTTTCGGGTTTAGGGTTTCGGGTTTAGGGTGTAGGGTTTAGGGTGTAGGATGTAGGGTTTAGGGAGGCTTGGAGCATCCGAGGTGGTTGAGATTGAGTCAAATCGTCCGGGTGTCGTAGTAAAATTCCGCGCTTCGCGCCTGTAAAATCAATTGCCGGGCATCGCTGTCCCTTTAACGCTTATACAAACTCCTCCTACTAGAATCATATGAAACCTGTGGACCGTATACAGGGCGAAAACCAGCTTCGACTGTTTGTTTTCATTACTTTTCTTGAGGGAGGGGGGGGACCCACAGACTAAAGAGGGTGCAACATTTGTCCTAAACCCTACAATAACACTTAGCCCTACTACAAGTTCAATAAACCCCAAATCCTGTAACCCATGTTTTCTGAAACACTCTCCTAAATCCTAGCCTCTCCCTCCAAAAGAAACAAAAACCTAACAACCATACAGAAACATGCAAAAAGCTTTAAACCACCCCCAAAATGGCCCTGCAGGAACCTCAAAAACACAACACAATTCAAGAAAAAACTTCCCCCAAAAAAAAAGAACAGAAGCACCATAAAGGAACACCCCCCAAAAAAGTTATAAAACAAAACAAATAAAAAAAAAATATATATATATATATAGAGAGCAAAAAACGAGGCCCGTCCTAAAATCTAAAAAATGCTGAACCCCTTCAAACCCTGCACCCAAAACCCTACAGGCCCCAAACCCCAAACCCCAAACCCCAAACCCCAAACCCCAAACCCCAAACCCCAAACCCCAAACCCCAAACCCCAAACCCCAGACCCCAAACCCCAAACCCCAAACCCCAAACCCCAAACCCCAAACCCCAAACCCCAAACCCCAAACCCCAAACCCCAAACCCCAAACCCCAAACCCCAAACCCCAAACCCCAAACCCCAAACCCCAAACCCTAAACCCTAAACCCTAAACCCTAAACCCTACCCTCCAAAGGCGCCTTGGCCAGAACCTCGGAGTCGGTGTCACCGAAGAAGGGCGGGTAGCCGCAGAGGAGGACCTTTGATTTGGGGGCTTTGGGGGAGGAGAGGGTCTAGGGTTTAGGGTTTAGGGTTTAGGGTTTAGGGTTTAGGTTTGGGGTTTGGGGTTTGGGGTTTGGGGTTTGGGGTTTGGGGTTTTGGGGTTTTAGGGTTTTGGGGTCTTAGGGTTTTAGGGTTTTAGGGTCTTAGGGTTTTAGGGTTTTAGGGTTTTAGGGTTTTAGGGTTTTAGGGTTTTAGGGTTTTTGGGTTTTAGGGTTTTAGGGTTTTAGGGTTTTAGGGTTTTATGGCTTTAGGGTTTAGGGTTTGGGGCTTGGGGCTTGGGGCTTGGGACTTGGGGCTTGGGGCTTGGGGTTTCGGATTTAGGGTTTAGGATTTAGGGTTTGGGGTTTGGGGTTTGGGATTTGGGGTTTGGGGTTTGGGGTTTGGGGTTTGGGGTTTGGGGTTTGGGGCTTCGGGGATTGAGTAGGTAACCTACACCCCAAACTCCCCCAAACCCTAAACCCTAAACCCTAAACCCCCAACCCTAAACCCCGAAACCCTAAGCCCCAAACCCTAAACCTCAAACCGTAACCCTCCCCCCCCCCCGCCCCCCTCAGTTTCCTAAACCCTGTATCGCAACAAAAGCTCGGGCCGCCGCGTACCCTACACCCTACACCCTAAACCCACCCTAAACCCTAGACCCTAAACCCTAAACCCTAAACCCTAAACCCTAGACCCTAAACCCTAAACCCTAAACCCTAAACCCTGTTTCACCACAAAAGCAAGGGCCGCCGCGTACATGATCACGCCGCAGCTCCAGAGGTCGCTGAGCTGGTCGTAATTACCGGCCAGGACCTCGGAGGGTTTAGGGTTTAGGGTTTAGGGTTTAGGGTTTAGGGTTTAGGGTTTAGGGTTTAGGGTTTAGGGTTTAGGGTTTAGGGTTTAGGGTTTAGGGTTTAGGGTTTAGGTTTTAGGGTTTAGGGTGTAGGGTTTAGGGTTTAGGTTAGGGTTTAGGGTAGGGTTTCGGGTTTAGGGTTGCAGCATCTCAAGTTCGAGCTTTTACTAGGCCAGCGGTGTGTGTAGGCAAACGGAAATAACCCACCCGCCCAAAGAACCATAGCATTACGAAAATGCAAAAGTTTTCTTCAATTCTGTTCAGACGAACCAAGAAGCAATCACAAAGGGGTCAAACGCCACAATGAACAATGGGGGGCCAATGGGTCAGACGGGTCAAAACGCCAAATTCGTGCTGAACAATGGGGGGCCAAACGGGTCAGACGGGTCAAAACGCCAAATTCGTGCTGAACAATGGGGGGCCAAATCGGTCAGACGGGTCAAAACGCCAAATTCGTGCTGAACAATGGGGGGCCAAACGGGTCAGACGGGTCAAAACGCCAAATTCGTGCTGAACAATGGGGGGGCCAAATGGGAGACGGGTCAAAACGCCGAATTCGTGCTGAACAATGGGGGGGCCAAATGGGTCAGACGGGTCAAAACGCCGAATTCGTGCTGAACAATGGGGGGGCCAAATGGGTCAGACGGGTCAAAACGCCGAATTCGTGCCGAACAATGGGGGGGCCAAACGGGTCAGACGGGTCAAAACGCCGAATTCGTGCTGAACAATGGGGGTCGAAACGCCAAATTCGTGTTTAACATTTAGGGTTATATGGTAGAGAGGTTTAGGGTTTAGGGTTTAGGGGTTTAGGGTTTGGGGTTAAGGGTTTAGGGTTTAGGGTTTAGGGTTTGAGGTTTAGGGTTTAGGGTTTAGGATTTAGGATTTAGGGTTTAGGGTTTAGGGTTGATGGTTTAGGGTTTAGGGTTTAGGGTTAACCTTAGTTGCTGAGTTAGTTCATAAGCCCCCCAAAAACTGTACACTTTCAGTTCTATCGGGGATTCTGGTATCCCAAAAAGTGTAGTAAAGTGTACTCATTCAGCTACTAAGTAGCAGGGTTTGGGGTTTTAGGGGATAAGAGTGTAGGGTTTAGGGCTCGGGGCTTCGGGGTTTAGGCTTTCGGTTTGGCATTGTGGCCTAGGAGCAGGCTGATGAGGCGGTTCTGAGTTTTAGGGGTCTAGGGCGTTTTCTTGTAAATGGCGTGTCAGAGGGTGGGTAGGTGTGCAGGTTTGCTTGCTTCAGGGGTTTTGGGGTTGAAAGTGTAGAGCTTCGACCTGGGGCGAAAGACTGTGTTTTAGCTGCTCGGTCTTCAACGCCGGCTTGGACGTGAGTTGCACACATCACCATCCTGCGAAGAAGGGCCTCTTCGGCCCAGGAAATTCCTCTTCCAAGCCACCCATTTCTGGATCCTTCAAAAGCTCCTGGTATGCATATTCGCTGAAATCGTCGGCAGGAACAGTAACACACGGCTCCAGTCGCGTCAGTGATTCGCGGCCGTCCTTCCGTACCGGAGCACGTGGGGCTCTCCCGTAGCATAGCATCTTTGGGATGCATCACGACCCACCATCCCAGATGGGTCTTCTAACCCTAAACCCTAAAACCCGAAACCCTAAACCCGACACCCTAAACCCTAAACCCTAACCCTAAACCCTAAACCCTAAACCCTAGACCCTAAACCCTAAACCCGAAACCCTAAACCCTAAACCCTAAACCCCAACCCACGTTTGTCATTCCACCTTAGCGTAGCGTTACGCGGGTCAGGGTTTTGACAAGGATCGGCTCCAAGAGCCTCGAGGCAGCGGACCTAAAGCCACAAAAAGGGACCCTGAAAGCCTGCAGTTTAGGGTTTAGGGTTTAGGGTTTAGGGTTTAGGGTTTAGGGTTTAGGGTTTAGGGTTTAGGGTTTAGGGTTTAGGGTTTAGGGTTTAGGGTTTAGGGTTGAGGGTTGAGGGTTGAGGGCTTAGGGTTTAGGGCCTAGGGTTTAGGGTTTAGGGTTTCAGGATTCAGGATTTAGGATTTAGGATTTAGGGTTGGGGGTCGGTACCTAGGGAACCTTAGGAAAGCTTAGGGAGCCTTAGGGAGTAGTAGGGAGTATTAGGGAACATACCGCCCACCCCCCCCCCCCCCCCCCCCAATTAGATTAGAACCCTATGCCTAAAGCCTCATTGAACGCCTAAGTGAGATTACTATAGTAAAGCCCCATTTAGCCAAAGACAACCCCTAATAACCCCAAAAACTATGGTTTAGGGTAAACCCTAAACCCTAAACCCTAAACCCTAAACCCTAAACCCTAAACCCCTAAAAACCCTTAAAACATGAACCCCTAAAAACCCTGGAAGCCGCAACAACCCTACAAAGCCGCTAGCCCCTGCACACCCTAAACCCTAAACCCAAAACCCTCAACCCTTAACCCTAAACCCCCCCCCAAAAAAAAAAAAAAAAAAAAACTTAATTAAAAAAACAACCCTAAAAAACCCAAAATCCCAAGCTCTCCAAGCCACGGATGTGCCTGAACCCGAAACCCTTAACCCTCAACCCTCAACCCTCAACCCTCAACCCTCAACCCTAAACCCTAAACCCTAAACCCTAAACCCTAAACCCTAAACCCTAAACCCGCGGACGCACCTGGGGTGCCACGTAGTAGGGCGTTCCGGCTTTGGTGGACAAGGGCTGGCGGCAAGAGACAGGGGGGTTTCGGAGAGGGTTTAGGGTTTAGGAATAGGGTTTAGGGTTTAGGGTTTAGGGTTTAGGGTTTAGGGTTTAGGGTTTAGGCTTTAGGGTTTAGGGTTTAGGGTTTAGGGTTTAGGGTTCAGGGTTTAGGGTTTAGGGTTTAGGGTTTAGGGTTTGGGGGTGAAGGGCCTTGAAGCTCAGAGGGCTGCCCCAATTCTTGGGTTTGGAGTTTGGGGTTTACAGTAGGGTTTGGGGTTTAGGGTTTAGGCTTTAGGGTTTAGGGTTTAGGGTTTAGGGTCTGGGGTTTAGGGTTTAGGGTTTAGGGTTTAGGGTTTGAGGGTTTAGGGTTTAGGGTTTAGGGTTAGGGTTTAGGGTTTAGGGTTTAGGGTTTAGGGTTTGGGGTTTAGAGTTTAGGGTTTAGGGTTTAGGGTTTAGGGTTTAGGGTTTAGGGTTTAGGGTTTAGGGCTTCAGTCTCCTCCAAGGGCTAAGGGCATCTAACCCTGAAGCATGGCGAAACCCTAAACCCCAAACCCTAAAATCCCTAAACCCCAAACCCTAAACCCTAAAGCCCAAACCCTGAACCCCAAATCCAAAGCCCAAGCCCTCCAGATGGTTTTTGCCCCATATGCCCTTAAATGCGAGGATCGATCCTTAGGCGGGCTTGCAGGTTTCTTGGGGATGAAGGCCCGCCTTTGGTCTTGAAGGTATCTAAAATTCAAAACGTAAAAAAATCATCAAGGAAAAAAGCAGCAAGCCCCACTCATCAGCTAGGGGGTCAGGGTCCTACTTTGAACCAGGGGGGGGGTAAAAGACCGGGAGGTGAGGTGCAGCAACACTCGAAACATTCTTCACAACAGAAGCTGCATGAGCTCTCGTTGGCCCGCCGCAGCTGCTTGCTTAAGTGCTGAGCGGCTAGACCGATCTACTAGATGCTTGTCTGCACCAGCTCCTACGAGCAACTGCACAATGTCTACATGACCATTGCGAGCGGCACACATGAGAGCTGTGTTGCCAGAGGCATCCTGCATATCCAAGTCGGCCGATGCCTCCACAAGAAGGCCTACGATATCCACTTCACCAAGCAAGGCAGCGAAAATGAGAGGAGTCGTGCCGCCGGATTTCGTCTGTACGTCCGTCTCGGCACCTGCTCCCACCAGCAACCTCACAATCTCAACCTGGCTACGTCGAGCCGCACAGATGAGAGCCGTGTCGCCTGTACAATGCAGCCCGAAATCCGTCGGAACTCCATGTTCCAGCAGCAATGTTGCAATCTCTTCATGGCCATGGTCAGCTGCATGAATCAGGGCCAGCGGATCCACGAAAGCCCCAGCGTCGAGCAGCAACCGCACAATGTCCACATGGCCTGCCTCGGCTGCACTGCTTAGAGGTGAGTTGCCATCGTGCGGGTGGCAGAGGTCCATGTTGGCACCAGCTTCGAGCAGCAGTTGCACTGTCTCCGTGTGGCCGCCGTAAGCTGCATGACTTAGGGCCGTCTCTGCACAGGAGCCCTGGAAGTCCTTGTCCACCCCAGCTTTCAACAGCAGCTGCACAACTTCCGCACTGCCGGACATAGCTGCACAAATGAGAGCTGTGTTGCCTTCCGCGTCCCGGAGTTCTGAGCTGGCTCCGGCCTCCAACAGCAGACGCCCGGTCTCGACATGATTCTTCTTGGCGGCAAAGTAGAGCAGCTCCCTCGCGGCTTCGCCCTGCTGCTCATGGGTAGATAAGGACGACAGCAGGACCAGCTGTACGTCACTAGGGGCATATAGCCGGTCATCATCATCCAGTCTACCACCATCCCTCAGGAGCTGTTGAAGGCAGACAGGGAAGCCATGCAGCCGGCGTAGGGCCACCTTGAGACTGGTCGCCTCTCGGACCTTCTTCACGTTGATCACGGCCAGCTCTGCCCCTGAAAGGCTCCAGACGCGCAGCATGCCCGAGGAGGGCGGCAGCAGCCGAACCCTAAACCCTAAAACCCTAAAGCCCTAAAGCCCTAAAACCCTAAACCCTAAACGCCAAACGGAGTGCGCGCTTGAAGCTCAGAAGTCCCTGCGTGGCACGTTCTGACACCTACTCACGACTAGCTGTGACTTGTTGTTACACACAACCTCCACAAAAATATGTGGGGGTTTACGGAAAAGCGGGACCCCTAAAATAGACCCCCAAATAGAAGGATTCCCTTAATGAGAAAAGGCCCCAAAAAAGGGAACCATGGTTTGGGAAACCACCATACTCATTTTAAAAGAAAGGCAGAGAGCCCAGCCATCATCAGAACACAAAAGCAGTGCGAAGCATCTAAACCCTAAACCCTAAACCCTAAACCCTCAACCCTAAACCCTAAACCCTAAACCCTAATCCATCATGGTGGGGAAGCATCATGGTAGTGCTAAGCTGGGAACCACGGGACAGCAGTGGTCGTGTTGTTATGATCCAGTCAGCTAAGGTATGTTCCTCTTGTCCAAAAACGACGGGAATCTCCCAAACAGGGGTCCTTACTTGTGGGCACTCGGGTTCCTATTCTTTAAGGGCCCCCGATTCTGAGAGAAAGCCATACCCTGGCAAATTAGCAGTACGCAACGTTAAGGAGGAAGTTCGAGCGCCACAGTAGGTGAGGAAAGCCTGGACACCATGTTCGAAACTCCTTTGATGTCTGCATCTACGGTTCAGAGCACGAGGGTCAGGGTGCAGTGTTCTAGAATCCTGTCAGAACCCCTCCGTCTGGCCACACAGAAAACCGCGCAAAGGCACCCCAAAACCCTAAACCCTAAACCCCAAACCCTAAACCCCAAACCCTAAACCCCAAACCCTAAACTCCAAACCCCAAACCCTAAACCCTAAACCCTGAACCCCCAAAACTCCCAAGCCTTGCCAGGGATGAACTTGCAGCTCAAGCCGAAGTCGATGATCTTCAGGAAGTTCTTCTCGATGGGATCCTTCACGAGTCTTGGTTTGGGGCCTTTATGTTAGGGGTTTGGGGTTTAGGGTTTAGGGTTTAGGGTTTAGGGTGTAGGGTTTAGGGTGCAGGGTTTCGGGTTTCGGTTTAGGGCTGATAGGGTTTAAGGCTGAGCCCAACCCCTCTTTAAGGGTTTGGGATGGAGGGTTTAGGGTTTGGGCTGAGGGTTTTAGGGTTGAGGGTTGAGGGTTGCCTCTCGAACCAAGGTATCAACCCCAGGCCGTGATCCTCCATCCTCCCAAACCCGGGAGTCCCCTAAGGGTGTTTACGGTTTGGGGTTTAGGGTTTCCTAGACCCTCAAACCTACACACGAAACCCTCTGCAACCCTCTAAAAAACAACCCCTCAAACCCCTAAACATCCGAAAACCCTATACCCGTAAACCTCCCACTCCCGGGGAACTTCCTAAACTCCCCAGACCCTAAAGCCCTAAACCCCTAAACCTCCTAATCCCCCCCAAACCTCAAGAAGCGACCCCGGCCCTAAATCCTCAACCCTACACCCCTCCAACCTGCAAAAACTAAGAAGAGACCCCAGCTAAACCCTCAACCCTCAGCCCTCAGCCCTAAACCCTAAACCCTAAACCCTACACCCTCAACCCTACACCCTAAACCCTAAACCCTAAACCCTAAACCCTAAACCCCTAAACCCTAAACCCTAAACCCTAGTCTCTTCACCCGAAATCGCTAGGAAGGGCCTAGCCTTGGTCATGAAGAGGAAGTTTTCCGGCTTCAGGTCGCGGTGGCACACGTGGTTCTCGTGCATGTAGTAGATGGCACCTTGTGTGAGCTCCGCGAGCTGGGGTTTAGGGTTTAGGGTTTAGGGTTTAGGGTTTAGGGTTTAGGATTTAGGGTGTAGGGTTTAGGGTTTAGGGTTTAGGTTTTGGGGTTTAAGGGTTTCGGGTTTAGGGGCTGTAGCAAATGGCCTGTTTTTTTTTTTGGTGGGGAGGGGGAGGCCCGGCACAGATGATCTAAGCCAAGCTCTAAACCCTACCTGGGACTCGTCTTCCCCGCAGCTTTGTAGAATTTACCCCCTCAAGTCGCAGGTCTAGCCCAAACAGAGTCCCTCAACCCTAAGCCCTAAACCCTAAACCCTAAACCCTAAACCCTAAACCCTAAACCCTAAACCGCCCTAAACCCGAAACCCGCAAGGCCCGGCACGGATGATCTGCTGCATCAGGATGGCAGCCTGGACCTCAGAGAAGTGGCCGGACCTCGGAACGAACTCGGAGGCCTTAGGGTTTAGGGTTTAGGGTTCAGGGTTCAGGGTTTAGGGTTTAGGGTTTAGGGTTTAGGGTTTAGGGTTTAGGGTTTAGGGTTTAGG